TATACGTGTGTGTGTATGTGTGTGTGTGTGACATTGGAATTGGCAAGGAATCGTCCCTCTGTTACACTTGATATATCCACTACGTTTACCATACATACTACCATTCCTGTATTTGCACACCCTACGAGTACATTCTGCACATACCCTTCGCCCTCTCGGCATAGAACTTGGCCATACGCGTCAAACTACCATGGAAGACTCCGCCTTCCTCTAGACCTGTGTGCATGCTTCCCATAAGCACTCTATTCTTAAGTGTAGTGAACCCCAGATCCAACGGCTTGAGCATGTGCGCATATTTCGACGTCATGGTGTCGTTGTGGGGTGGAGATGCACTCGAATCGTATGGGCTAGTTAGAGATTGTACGATGGATATGGTGTTACGCGCAAGTGACTGACTGATGGGATGGCCCTGTTTGAAGGACGTGCTTGCACCCGTGTTTAAAGTACTGTATCGCTACCGAGTGAACTCAAGGCTCTGCTTAGAGGTCTCACCCCGTCCGTACTCTGCTGGGTCTCCCTAGTATATTGTATACCGATGGTGGACTCAAGTCACTGCTTAGATGTCTGTTCACGTATAACTCGAACGTTTACCTACACACAGTCCTTATCCCTAATGCCTTACACCGCCCCACAGACCACACAGTACACACAGCTGACGGCACCGTTCACAGCTGTGCAAAAAGTCACACACACTGTCATATCGTCACAGGGCACAGGCTGATGCCAGTTCCGAGTTAAAAATAAAAGTAAAAGTATAAGCATGAAATAATAAGAGTCGTGTAAAATATGAGAGTAAACAAAGCCGAGCGCAAGATATTTGATTGGGCAACAGATAAAACAAGGGTGACGCGGGTAAAAACGATGAACACTATTTCGAGTGGATTTGATCATATGATATTTTTACACACTTTGTTTATATATCTATGTGGTTTGGTCCAAAGTTGCAATCATTTATTTACCCCCAGAGGGGCCCAGCACTGCAGGCAGCAGGGGAATTTGATCTCCATATGTATTATTTGTAAATATGTAGTTTTGGTAGTATGTTTCTACATAACTAGAAAATATGCTTGCTAGAAGTTACATGTCTCTCTCGAATCTCGATGATGTTGATGATGTTGACGATGACATAGTATTTTGTCAGTATAACCCGGTGTCATGTTGTACGCGTTTCTCTCTCGATGATAATGGTGATATAATATCAGTACCACTCAGTATCATAAGTACACATGCACATACACTTTTTTCTTTGTTTCTTTGCTGCACTGCATCTGTTGGACGATGACCGACCGACTGGCAACTTAGCCTTCGCATTGCCAAGGAAGTGAGAGCGAAACTTTAAGCGAAGCGATGAGTCAATCACTTGTTGATATGTATTGGTTCCCAAAGCTTCTTCATTCGAGTACATAAAAACGCCGCACAGATGCGATATGAGGCATGAGATCAGTAGATGCCAACTGCCAAGATCAATCAGTTGTAGTAGTACAATATACCATGTACGCTTGGAATAGATAGTGGGGTTCCAAGACTGAGCACGGATAATAGGATTACTTAATCGGGGAAACAAACACACTGGCAAAGGGTTTCCCTACCATCGTACTGCATTGGATTTTTTTGAGTCTGTTAGAAAGACATCTCACAGATACCCCACACCTACAACACGCCTGAGCAATCTCTATTTGCGACCAAATGTGCAGCCAATAGCAGTTGTCACTACTTTGACTCGTCCGTGTATACATCCAATGCATGTTACGTATCAGGAACTCAATTGTTTTATCGCCGAGGCGACCAACTGTAGCGGTACGTATTTCTGAGCAGTTCAAGTTTTGCGTTTGGCGTTCAGTGTAGGGATGCGCCAGGGGTGTTGGCTATGTTTATTGCGCCGTAATCCATATTACCGCAACAGTATACCAATCAGTCGCTGTGAGTTACACGTGAATAAGCAATCTTTCTACAACTGTATACTGCTATGTATATATGTATGTATATGCG